TGAACAAATTAAAAGGATAATTATGATGGAGTTTAATACACCAGGCAAACTAATAATTAAGCCTTACAGCACATCTTGTTCATTCACTTAAAGATACCACAAGGATCTAGTATTTACCACCACTTTATATATTATTGACCCCTCTCTGTACATTTTTGCAATAAGTTTTAATTTACAAATACTTAATTACTGAAATACAATTTCCCTGAAACACAGAACAACCAAGAGGTCTTTTTGTAGGTTTTATAGCTAATAAATAGTAGGATGTACAGTTTTCCATATTAACGTCCTCTTTCCCCTATACGATCTAAGCATAACAGACACACAGATGTCCTGTTTGCGGAGTGTGTAAATGAGAGCAAGGTCAGACTCATTTTCACCTTTGTTTTCAATAGCCAGAGTAATCTGGGCAAAGGAAAACTAACTCCTTTTGAAAAAACCCCCAATAACAGATCTCTCAATGCAGCAGCTACCTATGTACTCTCCTTTAAGCTAATAAAAATAAAGGAGTATTAAGAATATTACCTCTAGTTCCAGAGCATTGCAAAGTAGCTTCCGTGCATTCTTCCTGAGAGTCTCTGTTTTCGGATCGCTCCTGACTTCTATCGATGGTTTGTTTGAATACTCTTTGATGAAAGTTCGCCACTCAGTGTAAACGTCTTTTGCGAGATTGGCCACGTCATGGTCTGAATGTTTGCGCATCTTATTCACCGTGTGACCTGTCAAATAGAAACAGCAAGAGAGTTCGTTCAACTTTGGTGGGTAGATAAGCGTAATCCAGACCTGTCAGTGCACATTAGTGACAAAACAGCCACAAAGCATTGTACGTTAGACAGCTTCAGCAGAAAACCAAGCACTTAACACAAATGCAAATATGAAAACACTGGGGCCAACACTTGCAGAGTCCTTATTCACTGATTCAATGGTGGTTTTGCCTTAGTAACATCCTACGTGCTTGGTTATCCAGCTGTAAAATGCGAGTAGCGTTTTCCTAGATCAGAGGTGTGTAGTGAGGTGCTCAGACAATACAGGGCTATATGAGTACTTAGATGGTAAATCTAGTATAAAGCCTTCAGGATTGGCTCACACAGAATAAAAATGTTTGCTGAAAAATTCTTTGGGGAAGTGGATGTTAGGTGATATTTGCAATGTTTTTACATGCGAGTGAGGAAGTAATGATTTCCTACTGTTTTCCAGTCACCATCAGTGACGTTTCTCATGCCCACGGAAATACACAGAGCTCTACAAGAAAAGGAGTACTTGTGGCACCTTAGAGACTAACCAATTTATTTGAGCATGAGCTTTCGTGAGCTACAGCTCACTTCATCACTTCAGCTTATGCTCAAATAAATTGGTTAGTCTCTAAGGTGCCACAAGTACTCCTTTTGTTTTTGTGAATACAGACTAACACGGCTGCTACTCTGAAACAGCGTGCTACTGCACCCACAAGGAAATGTGCCTCTTGAAAGGGGATATACTACCTAACAGTGGTTTTCAACCTTTTTTCATTTGCGGATCCCTAAAAAATTCCAATTTAAAAAAAAAAATCAATTCCAATAAAAAATTCCACAGGTTGAAAACCCCTGACGTAACACAAAGCAGAAGGCACAGTTCCTCCTCTTCTGCTTGGTGGTCATTTCTAACTGATAACACTATTTGGCCAGACGGTGTCACTGTTACTCCTTGGGTTTCATACAGCACAACTGTGCTTCGTCTGTCACTGCTGCAGACCTGATATAGAAAGGCTGAATGTGCTACAGATGACAAATTAAATTACAAAATTCAGACCAGGAAGGCAGAGAGGACCCTCTACATGAAGATCCTACTGCTTTTGCACAGAAAGGAGGGGGGTCAGCCCTGGCCCTGCTACTCTCCCCCTCCAGTACATCTGGGTTGATCTCTGCAAGATCAGGATCTGCACAAAAAGAGAGCAGGGAACTGGTGGTCTCACATCACAACCTGTCCCCCGGTCCTGTGAAAATTAATCAAGTTGTGTCGGTGTTGTAAGCATGTAGCCCCCTCCATGTTGGGGATTCCTTGGGGAAGAAAGGAGCACCGAGGTAGCTGTACTAAGGAGCAGGGCCTCTATGCTGATGGCTTGGGCCTCCAGCAGATCCTGGGAACTTCTCTGGGTTTGCAGATGGGTCCCACATCTCATTCCACAGGGGAGCAACCACCCAAAACCAATCAAGAAGGAACTTTGTGGAGATTTCCTTCCCCTCAGTCCTTCTCCCACATATTTTACCATGGAAGGGAGTGACCCAGCCCTTGATTATAAGCAGCCAACATCTAAGGGCTTGGCTACATTTAAAGCAGCTCCGGGCACCCTAGCTCACTACCCGTCCACACTGCCAAGGTACATAGAGTGCTCTGACTCCATGGCTAGAGCACTCCTGGTACTCCACCTCTGCGAGAAGATTAACACTTGTTGCACCTTGGCTGAAACGCCCGGAGTCAGTGTGAATGAGGTGTTGCATTACTGCGCTCTGATGAGGCGCCCCCGTAATCCCCTTAAGTCAAGTGGCCACTCTTCTCATTAAGAAAAGGAGTACTTGTGGCACCTTCGAGACGAACAAATTTATTTGAGCATAAGCTTTCGTGAGCTACAGCTCACTTCATCAGCTGTAGCTCACGAAAGCTTATGCTCAAATAAATTGGTTCGTCTCGAAGGTGCCACAAGTACTCCTTTTCTTTTTGCGAATACAGACTAACACGGCTGCTACTCTGAAACTCTTCTCATTGTTTGGAATCACTGCAGGAATGCGGATATGCCCTTTGAAAGCTCCTTTTCTGACAGCCGGCTGCTTATCTGCTCCGAGACAAAGCAACCATTACTGTGGAATGCTGTGTGTGTGAAAGAGAGAGGCGGGAGGAGCGGTCTGCTGCTATCTGAACTTACAAGACATGCTGACATTCTTTCAGCCCCCCCAAAAAACCCACTCTCCCCCCACATACATACACACACACACACACACTCCGTCACACTCCACCCCAACCCCCCATTTTAAAAGCACATTGCAGTCACTTGCATGCTGGGATAACTACCACAATGCACTGCTCTCTGTGACCGTTGCAAGAGCTGCTAATGTGGCCACGCCAGAGCACTTGTAGCTGTCAAGTGTGGACAGACTGCAGCGCTTTCCCTATTGCGCTCTAGGAAGGCTGGTTTAACTCAAAGCGCTCTATAGCTGCAAGTGTAGCCATGCCCTAAATAACTGTGAATAATTCAAGGAGAACTCTTTCCTCGCTGTACTAAGAATTTTGCAGACCACGTAGCTACCTACCACCAGGATTTTACTCAACAATAAGGTAAAGTGCTTAGGACCATTACAGAAAAATAGTGTCAACAATTCCCATGTGTATGGAAAAATCCAACAAGCAAAGGACACAAATCGATCTCATTTTCACACTCTAAATTAGATACAAAGTGCACCTATTTTTGTCGAAAGTAACACATCCTTAGAAGGTATTTTCTTCTTTAATTCCTCCAAAGCTTCGATCAAATTATCTTTAGACTGGCCAGGAAGCTCGAGGACAGATTTCCATCTTTTTATGTCTTCTACAACCACCACTCTCTGGGAAAGAGAAAAGTCATTAGGAAAGTGGAATATTCTTATTGCAAATAAAGATGTTGGCCTTCATCTCAGCTAATGGGGCTGTTATCGACACATGAATTATTGATCATGACATGAACCAGAGCACAGAATATGTGATGGTCCAAAATGATGGGTAATTGCTTGAGAGCAGCTCCCTGTTGTAAATCAGGACAGGAATATCTAGAGGGCAAAGTGAGATTCTTAATCTTATTCTGCCAAACACTGGGCAATTAGCTGCAAATGTCTCCTAGAAAAAGAGAGTTATGCAAGTGTTCAGACTTTGGGAAGCCCACTGTATAAATGGCTTAATAAAGAGGGGATGAGAGGGAGTGGATGGGGGAAGCAGCTAATTATAATATTGTTAGTAGCAACTTAGTACCAGGCAGGGCCTGAATCTGCCCCACTTCTGTTTTTGACTTCGGAAATCTCAGAGCAGGTAGAGAAAAGGAGCTAGGGAGCACCACAGAGGGACTGAAAGAAGCCAGTCAATAACGTATCTGGCATTTACATAGTGCCTTTCACCCCAAACATCTTGCAGTGACGCTCCCAAATAAAAGATTACAAGAAGCCTGAGTCTTGTTACGTGTAAGATGTAGTGCAAGACCTTTTACAATCGTTCAGCAATGGTTATGCAGCTGATATGCTGTTTGCATTCTCCTCTGTCTTATATTTAGATTATACCTCTTTGGTACAAGGCAAAATTTTTCTGTTCTGTTTGCAAGCACCTAGCACAATAAGGCCCTGATCCAAGACTGGGGACACAAGTGATATCACAATTAATAATAATCATCTCTTGGCTGCAAAATAACCTGCAGGGGGAAAATAATGAAAAAACTAAAGGAGGACTTGTGGCACCTTAGAGATAACAAATTTATTAAAGCATGAGCTACAGCTCACTTCATCGGATGCATGAAAGTGGAAAATATAGTGGGGAGATTTTATATACACAGAGAACATGAAACAATGGTATCCGTAAAAAGAAAAGGAGTACCATTGTTTCATGTTCTCTGTGTATATAAAATCTCCCCACTATATTTTCCACGGTATGCATCCGATGAAGTGAGCTGTAGCTCACAAAAGCTTATGCTCAAATAAATTGGTTAGTCTCTAAGGTGCCATAAGTCCTCCTTTTCTTTTTTACGGATACAGACTAACACGGCTGCTACTCTGAAACCAATGAAAAAACTGCCACTCAAGAAAGCGGTGTAAGAAGAGAGGGGTGAAAAGCATGCACCTCTACCCACAGATTGCCCTTTTCAATTATCTATATCATGCCCAGATGCTACAGTGATGGGCACGTTAGAAATGCTCAGATACAGACTGACTAATGGATATGCAGGAATCATTTCACTCACTCTTGAAATGCAAGTTACTCTTTTTTTTTTTTTTAACTTCTGCACTTAGGACCTGAATGGGAGAAAACTCACCACCCCATTCCCACTTCTAGCAAGATCAAAAGGGGAAGAGTGCTATCAAAAGTGCTATGGTAATACAAATAATAAATTATTATTAATGGCCAATTGGCCTGTGTCCTTTCCCTCTCCCCATCAAGCATGAAGTTCTGCAAATCTTAAAGCCAGTTCAGTGTGGAGATTCAGGAAAAATACATGTCTCAGAGAATCTCTGTCAAATGCTTTAATCCTATGCAGAGAGGGTGGTGTTGGATCCACCTATACATTCTAAATGTGTCTCAAAATGCATTCTTGCTGCCTATTTGAATAGTGTATGCATATTTTACATCTTTAAATACAACATTTATAAATACAATCATGCGCCTGATGAATGGCACTCCTGGATGATGCTTCTAGTATTAGGGTTGCTACTTGGAGCATTATGACATCCCATAGGTTACGAATGACTCATATACTCAACTGTACACTGTACAGATGTATTCTGCAACTAATTATGAGTCCAAGTTTCAGCTACATTTTCTTAGCAGCTGCAGAATTATGAGCATAGAAATGCTTATGCACATGGATAGTTATGCAATTACTCTGTATGAGCTGCAAAATCTATATGTACAGATTTACAGGCCACCTGAGACTGGCTGAAAATTTGACCCTATGTTTGTGTCTTGGTGGTTTTTGGTTTGTGATTAATCATAAAACTTTCTAAACAAATTCTAAATCTTTTCTTCAGAAAGCTTATATCATGCAGAATCTTGTACTCATGTCACCAAATATCTGACCATTGTTTATAGAATGCCTCTCAATCTGATGGAGAGAGCCTATCCACTATACTGTTTACTGACAGAGCACACACCACTGAACAGCAGCCATATGTGGGGAGGAATGGAGCAGCCATTCTGTGTCAACTTTAATGACTGTTTTCAGGTAAGGAAATAAATCACTTCTAAAATTGAAGCCACAGGTAAACTTGGACATGAGCTGATTGTAAATACCCAAGTTAGAATTTTGGCCAGAACAACAGGAGTAACACCACACCTTGCTAACATTTGCCATAAGATCTTCAATGACCACACATATTTATTTGACAAATAGTATTTCCAGCAATCCAGTGCCCCCTCGTGGTGTGGTGGAGCGCTGGCTCAGTAGGGAGAGAAGTGTTACCTAAATGACCAACACCATTTCTTACAGCAACCTGGGCTTCCTTTAGAGGATTTTCATTGAACTATTGACCATGTCTTAGCCTAGGAGATCTCATAAAATAAAGCCTGAAGTCTATAGAATAATTGCTACTGGTCATCAGCCCCTTTAGGATCCTAGAGTGCAGGTACACACACTTACACTTCTAATTACAGAATTTCTAATGCTCAAGTGAAAGGGCTAAACTAAACTGTGCCCAATTTTACAGGATACTGAATGGGACTGTTGCACACTGGATTCTGAAATACTGATTAGGGATGAAAATTTCACCCTAGAGCACGGGCAGACAAACTTTTTGGCCTAAGGGCTGCATCGGGTTTCTGAAATTGTATGGAGGGCCGGTTCCTTTCGCGGGCCCCTTCCAACGGGATATAGATAGACTAGAACAGTGGTTCTCAAACTTTTGTACTGGTGACCCCTTTCACATAGCAAGCCTCTGAGTGAGACCCCCCCTTATACATTAAAAACACTTTTAATATATTTAACACCATTATAAATACTGGAGGCAAAGCAGGGTTTGGGGTGGAGGCTGTGCATCCCCAAACAGCCAAGCATGGCCCAGCCCCCACCCCCTATCCCATCCCCCCTGCTTCTTGCCCCCTGAGACTCCTGCCCCATCCAACCCCCCCTGTTCCCTGACGGCCCCCCAGGGACCACTGCCCCATCCACCCCTCCTGCTCTCGGTCCCCTGATGGCCCCCAGACCCCCCGCTGCCCCATTCAACCCCCCCCTTCCTGACTGCCCACCCAGGACCCCTGCCCCATCCAACCGCCCCTTCTCCCTGACCGCCCCTGGACCCCTCACCCCTAACTGCCCCCCACCACCCCATTCAACCCCCCCTCTCCTTCCTGACTGCCCCCCCGGGCCCCCTGCCCCATCCACCCCCCCACTCCCTGTCCCCAACTGCCCCCCCATCCAACCCCTCCCTTCCTGACTGCCCCCCCCCCCCCCGGGACCCCTGCCTGCATTCAACCCCCCTGTTCCCGGCCCTTTGATCGCCCCGACCCCATCCACACCCCTGACCATCCCCCAAACTCCTCTGCCCCCTATCCAACCTGCCTCCTGCCCCCATACTGCGCTGCCTGGAGCACCAGGACAGGCAGCCACGCAGCACAGAGCACTGGGTCAGGCCGGGCTCTGCAGCCCCGCTGCCCAGAGCATTGAGCCGCGCAGCGGCGTGACTATGGGGAAGAGGGGACAGCAGGGGAGGGGCCGGGGATGAGCCTCCCAGGCCAGGAGCTCAGGGGCGGGGCAGGACGGTCCCGTGGGCCCACCTCTGCCCTAGAGAAAGTGGGGGGAAGTAATCCCATGTTAGCATTAATGGTCCGAAAGGAAATTCAGAGGCCTATTCCTTGGGGGCCCCACATCTAAGCATCAGATATAAATGACTTGGACTCACTAAAACTGTAACTTCATATCTCAGCAGGGTGAATCTAACACATTATCCTTTCAAGACCCAAATCTGATGTTGCCTCAGTTTATGGTGTACATGCATTAGATGAGCTTAAAAACCAACATCCTATCTGCTTTAGATACACATTAAATGTTCCATGGCCTTTTTTGTAATAGGCCATTGCTCCAGCGTCTTTGGAGTACATTTTCTTTCTCCTGGCTGTTGTGCTGAGTGTTTGTTGTCTTCCTGGCTGCTGTCCATCTCAGAGGCAGCAGCATTTCAGCGGTGCTGTACGTACTCTCTCAAGTGCTCTGTGATCCTTTGGGACAGAAGTTGCTATGTAAACTACATCAGGCCTATACTGAAAATACTACACTGATCTCTTATCCATCCATTCCCTCTGCCCTCCCCACTCTTACCTTCAGAGATTCTATAGTGGCTTGCTTGTAAACCTTTGCTCCTGGATCTCTTTTCCTAGGGCTTTCCTGGGCTTTGGGTTTTCGTATCACAAATCTATCCATGATGGACACTTAAAGGTCTCCAAGTTTTTGGTTAGGTGCAGCAGCTGTTTGAAACAGTTGTCCGTTTTCTTTTATGAAACTGTATTGGTAATACTGCTTTAACTTAAAGGCAGATTGTTGACAGGAATACCAGCAAAACTAACCTCCGCGCCTGAGCTGCAGGTAGATAGGGGGAAAGGTGGGGGAGGGCTTTGATGGCAATGTTACACTGAGCCCCAACTTCAATGAAGCTGCTGGGCACAAAAGACAATTGGGGGAGAAGGGGGGGGGGGCTTGGGCTGCTACCGTGGCTCCCGGGGGCTGGCTGGAGATTTGGGGTGACGCTGCCGGGTACGCAAAGGGGCGGGGCTACGAGTTACAACATGCACCGTGGGGACGGGCATGGGGTGCCCGGCTCATGCCCCAGGGGGAGGGATGGACTTGGGGGGCCTGGCCCTTGGAGGGCGCAGGAGTCGGGGGCCCGGCCCGCGGCGGGCGAGAGGGTTGGGGGGCCTGGCCCTTGGAGGGCGCAGGAGGAGGAGGGAGGGAGGGAGTCGGGGGGCCCGGCCCGCGGCGGGCGAGAGGGAGGGAGGGAGGGAGTCGGGGGCCCGGCCCGCGGCGGGCGAGAGGGAGGGAGGGAGGGAGTCGGGGGGCCCGGCCTGCGGGAGTGGGGGGAGTCGAGGGGCCCGGGGAGGGATGGAGTCGGGGTGTCCGGCAGGGCGTGGAGGGGCGGCGACGGGCGCGGTGTTCGGCTGCCCGGCGCTGGGGAGCCGGGGACTGCGGGGCGGGGCTCGGGCGCCCGGGCTGGGCAGCAGCGACCCCCAAAGGCCACGGGAGGCCAGTTACACGGTTCCCCCGAGCTTACTCGCGCGGCCCGGCCCGGAAGCGACTCGCCTCGTAGTTCCCGGCGAAGGCGGTTCTCCCTCTCCTGCCCAGCTCACCTCCGACCGGGAAACTGCGTCTCCCGTCAGGCCCCGCGGCGAGGGAACTCTCGCGATATCGCTCGAGCCCCGTCTTCACCGCAGGGCCGGAAGTGGGAGAGGGAGGGGCAAGATGGCGGCGCTGCGGGGGAGGCTGTCGGGGCTGGGTCTCTTTCTGCTGCTCCTGGTCTGCAGGAGGAGCTGGGCGGCCGCGGGCTCCTCCGAGGCCTTTGACTCGGCGCTGGGGAGTACGGCGTCGTGCCACCGGGCCTGTCAGCTGACGTACCCCCTGCATACCTACCCCAAGGTACGGGACCCCCACCCGCTGCCCCCTTCCAGAACGAGCCCGTCCGGGTACGGGCCTCCCCTCCCCCAGCCGCTCTGCGCTATGGGGCTCCCTTGGCGCTTCCTCCAGGTACAGGCCTCCCAGTGCCGTCCCCCGCCCGGCACGGAGCCAGACGCCGCCCCCTCCACTCTGGCCCCAAGGCGCAGGGCCTTCCGCCGGGCTCCCCCGGCTTCTCCCCAGCTGGGACCGTCCCTGATGTGGCTCAAGTCAGTGAGGCTCAGTTGGCATGACAAGCTGGGCAAGTGTTGCCGGAACATAAGAGAGACTCCTCAGGTATTTGTCGGGATGAGGAAGACCCGCTTCCCCCGCCCGATAGCTTCTGAGGTTTGTTCACCCTGGTCCATGGGTTGTTGGTGAGTCCTTATCTGGTAGCAGGTGCTTCTAGGTACGGGGCCGTCGGCCAGGAAGATTCGCCCTACACACACCAACCCCAAGATATGCCCGGTTCCTTTCGCGGGCCCCTTCCCACGGGATATAGATAGACTAGAACAGTGGTTCTCAAACTTTTGTACTGGTGACCCCTTTCACATAGCAAGCCTCTGAGTGAGACCCCCCCTTATACATTAAAAACACTTTTAATATATTTAACACCATTATAAATACTGGAGGCAAAGCAGGGTTTGGGGTGGAGGCTGACAGCTCATGACCCCTCATGTAATAACCTTGTGACCCCCTGAGGGGTCCTGACCCCCAGTTTGAGAACCCCTGGACTAGATGAGGTAATATCTCTTATTGGTTCAACTTCTGTTGGTGGAAGGTAAAAGCTTTTGAACTACACAGACCTCTTCTTCAGGTCTGGGGAAGGAAGTAGACCTGAGGAAGAGCTCTGTGTAGCAGTCAGTAATCTCTCTGTAAAATATAATCTTTTGGGGGAAGAGGTTGTTGTGGGGTTTCCATGTGTCCTGTTTTCTTCTTCCTCCTTCCCTCAAAGAAACAATACCAACTTGATTTGGGCTGCTCTGGCTTTAAAACCATACAAAATATCTGTGTGTGTTGACAAGTAAAAAGTCCTGAATCATGACACTGATAAAACATTTGAATTATAGAGGATGAAGTCTGAAGAGTTGTAAAAAATGAGCACTCCAAACCCCCCCACTCCCGGGTTCTAGTTAACTTAGGCAGATGTCTTTCATGGTATCTATCTTTATAAAAGGAAGGTGTTGGAAAACTGTTCCCCCTAGCTCTGTTTCATATTGAGGTTCAGTATCAGTTCAGGATTCTATAGAATTTTGAGTTATTGTTGGAATTTGGAAAATTCATTATTCTTTTCAGTCTTGTGTGAATTTTTGACTGATAATATACTGCTGCGGATAGAGAATAAAGTATAACAAGTTGAGTTCAAAATGTGGGGTGCACAAATAACAAATGAGGGAGAAGGGTAATAGAGCAGAAAGTTTGAAGTGTGGAATTAATATTTTTAGAATAAAACTACATAACCATGGATTTGAGTCAGTAACTGTGATGTGTATACCTCAACAATGAGTGGAAGCAACAAAGACTTGTGTGGATGGAATGAAATGTATATCAAGAATATGGAACTTTATGCCCCATGTTGAGATGTCTGAGTATGATACCAATTGCAAAAAAGGCCAAAGTTTGGGAATTGAATCATTGTAAAATTAAACATCTTTCTTCCTTAATTCCAACCCCAAATCTTTTCCTACTGCAGATCAAATTTCAGACTCCTGTGGTTTTTGTTGGAGGACTTTGGCAAGTTTTTGAAGGAAGTTGAGACTCTGGTGTTTCTTGTAGCTTTTAGAGTTTTTAAAAAAACTAAACACTTTGAGCTCATCATTATAGTATACATCATAAAGAGGCCAATAAAATGACACACACAATTTTCTTCCTACTGAGTCCTTTGTGACTTAAACAATCCATCCTGTGTTGATTTTAAGCACTATCTACCACTAAGCTACCAAATAGAAATAGAGGTGGCAGGAAACTTTTATTTTGGAAAAATACATTCATTGTTTTGTTTAACTCATGAAAGAGAAACTTTATTAAGACTTATCAGGATAATCTGTGTGTGCATCATACCTGCCAAAGCCAATTCAATATGAATGTCAACATCTGTGGCATATTTTCTGCAGCAGGATATTTCTGTTAGAGACACAGTCAAAGTTGTTAGGCTTTATTTAAAAAAAAATAAAATCTTGACCCAGTTTGGCAGTTGTTTTGATATTTTATGCTGCAAAAACCTATAGAACATCTGTGTCTGAAAGAAACACACCAGTTTTTTTGCAAGAGGTTATATGGTAAGGTGTGGTGTGTTTGCCTTGTTCCTTTAATAATTGATTCAAAGTCCTGTCTTCACCTGTAAAGCAGGTGACAACCATAAGGATGAGGAGAGAGACAAAAGACCTGTCTTGAGTTTTCCTGTTAACAGATTCACATGGTGTCAAATGCAGAACAATGCTAATGGTTTACAACAACACTACAAACAACTAGTTATGTTGGTCCTAACATATGAGAGAGACAAGGTAGGTGAGCTAATATCTTTTACTGGAACAGTTTCTGTTGGAGGAAGATACCAACATTCAAACTACACAAAGTTATTCAGGTCTGTGGAAAGAAGTCAGATGCTTTTTGAAAGCTTGTGCTTTCCACCAACAGAAATTTGTCCAGTAAAAGATATTACCTTGTCTCTGACAAGATAGTTTCACAATGTGGAATATTTTTCTAACTCTCTATTTTTATTGCTTTGCTATAAAAAAAACAAGCAAAATTTCTAAGATACCAGGGAAGTAGGTACTTGCCTCATCTAAACACAGTTTTTCTACCAGTATGGTATAACTACTCTAGTTGGGGGCATGTTTTTTTATCTAAATAGTTATAATGTTACAACTCCTAGTTACACTCATGCGACTTAGCGTGGCTGTAGTTACATTAATGCAAAGGTGCCATATGCCAGTGTAGCTTATTCCCCTTTCTATGAGGAAATAAGCTATGCTTGTATGACTGTGACCACACTCGGAGGGTTGTATTGTCTGAGCTACACCAGTACTGCTCTAGCTATACAACTTTTGTGACTAGACAAGCCCTCAAATGAAGTCTACCTCACAGATCCCATTTCTCTGCCACATGGTACTTCTAGTAATTAAAAGAGTGTGTTTCTCACAGCTAAGTGAGTATTTTCTTGTGAAACAAAGTACTATAGCACTTCATTAATTATTGGGAGAAGCATTAAGTTGTTTTTTACTTTGTCTTCTGAATGCTACCATACTATAATCTTGATAGGGGCATTATACAGAGAGCTCGATATAGTCCCTGCCCTGAAGAACTTACAGTCTAAGACTGTAACATATGAAAGGAGAGAAAGAGGGTGACAATCAAATAGGAACATTGATATACATTTTTTTTATACACTTGCTGTATCTGTTTGCAAAAAGAAAAGGAGTACTTGTGGCACCTTAGAGACTAACCAATTTATCTGAGCATGAGCTTTCGTGAGCTACAGCTCACTTCATCAGATGTTTACCGTGGAAACTGCAGCAGACTTTATATACACACAGAAATCATGTGTATTCTTTCTGTGTGTATATTCTTTCTGTGTGTAAATTTCTGTGTGTATATAAAGTCTGCTGCAGTTTCCACGGTAAACATCTGATGAAGTGAGCTGTAGCTCACGAAAGCTCATGCTCAAATAAATTGGTTAGTCTCTAAGGTGCCACAAGTACTCCTTTTCTTTTTGCGAATACAGACTAACACGGCTGTTCCTCTGAAACCTGTATCTGTTTGGTAATTACATAAAGGAATACTCTTCTCTCTTTCCCTCAGCAAAACCATTAAATAGTATGTTGACTGGATATTTTGACAAGTAAGTAGCCATGACACAGGAATAGTGCGCCACAAAATATACTCTGGTTACTTATTTTGACAACTCTTTTTACTTCTAATTATATCCCATAACAAATAATTAGTGTTTTGACAATATACCATTCACCTGCATTATGACTCCTCACTGATAGCATTTGCCATTAAATCTTTGAGAGGTAAGGACTGCCAACTTTCTGTATGGATTAGGTTAATAGGTTCTACTTCGATTCTTTAGCAGCTAGTACCTTTATTTTTAAAGCTGTCATTTTTCAGAAATGCATTTTTGAACTTGCTGACTTTAGTGATCCGTCTATTCAAGGCCGGCTCCTTGCTGAATAAAGAACCGTGTTCTGCTTGGACTAAGAAAGTCCATATCAAAGTTGCCCAATAATTTTAAAGAACTGGAATTTGCTTTTGTTCCAGACTGTACAGACCTTGGTGTTTGGCTGACTTCTAAGGTTTTCTTTTTGTTTGAGGTTTTTTGCTAGAATATTTTCCAAGGTAGCTTTTATAGTACTCAGAAAAGTAGTAATGTTTGCTTGTTGCTACCCTAGGTTCTTGGGTGGAGTATTAGTAATCTCTTTAGCAACCCTGCTTTTCTTGTAACTTCCCAGGAAGAGGAACTGTATGCATGTCAGCGAGGCTGCAGACTGTTTTCTATTTGTCAGTTTGTGGATGATGGAATTGACTTGAATCGGACCAAACTGGAATGTGACTCTGGTAAGATAATTCTGTGCTCTTTCCACAAGATGTAATATGAAGAGACAAATGAAGGGAAGAGTGGAAAAGTATAAAGGGATACTGTCAATTTGACTTTTTCAAAATTGATATTACTCTTAAAAAAAAGTTTGATAGAGCACTCATTAAAATTTCTCAAATTTTTAAAAGGGATTTCTGCTTTGTGAGCCTTTAAAACATAAGGGTCCTTTTGGCCAAGGGAAAAACTTAGGTGATGTAACCATATTAGGTGTAAAATGGTTAGCTGACAATGTAATTTTCAAACTAATAGTGTCTCTTTTACTCCATGTAACATTGTGCAATGACATAACATAATAAATGACATCAGTTGCAATGATTTTCGTAGCCCTATTTGTTGGGATGTATGGGTTTGTATTTACTTCAGCTGAAATGTTTGCTTTACAAAGCACAAATCTTGATGAACTGTGTACTACATCACTAATATGGCCTCATTCAACCCAAATTTACAATCTCTTTACTATGGAAAGAGAAACAAATCTTAATTACATTCTCTGCCTTTCATATAGTTAAACAACTTGGGAGCTGGGTGTATGTCTTGTTGAATTAAGCCATTAAATATCAAACATTCATGAATAACTAATTGTTTAAAAGGATTAATTATCTGAAGATCAGAGAAGAATGTTGATAGTTAAAACTGTGAAAATACTTGTTACAAATTATATACCAAGCTAATACTGAGATCAAAAGCGTGGTGCCAAGCAAGCGAGGCAGGAGAGGGAGCATCTCTCCCTAAGTGCCAACTCAGCACTAAAAAGAGGCTTAATCGTGTGCTGAAGGCAAAAGGGGCAGTGGCAAGTTCCAACAGCAGAGAGAGTTGGGGAAAGGCATGTTAGTACAATACAGAGCTGTGTTATATGAGCTGGGAATAGGCGAGAGCTGCAGAGAAGCAGTATCCTTTGCACAGCTGTGATACAGGCATTTCTTTTCAATTGCCAAACCCCAATCAAGGGAGATCATAAAAAGGGGTGAGGCAGCAAAAGTCCAAATGTAGAGCTGAGTCTTTATTGTTGCCTCCTTTCCTATACAACATTTCCACCCTGGACTGTTGCCTTCTGCCTGTTCATTTGCAGTGGTCTTAGAACACTGATTTTGTTCATTGCTTGGTGGCTGTCCTGTGCTTTGTGATGCACTTCCTGATCATTCTGTTCAGTTCTGTCTCTAGGTGCTTCTGTGGCTGCAAGTTGTCTGACTTTGTGACTGTTTTACCATAGGACTGTTGCTCAGGCTCCTGAGACCTCCACACTCAGATATTTGGTTGATTACTGTGCATTCCCTGCCAGATCTTTGTCTACCCTATTTCCATAGACTGCCCATTTCTGGTTCTATGCTTGTTCATTTTCCTCTCCTGTGAAGAAATAGATAGTACTAATGTTTGGTATGCACTTTTACTTGTCAAGTCTGTTCTTTTTGTGCCTTCTGGCCTAAGCCTCCCAATACCCTAGTGAGAGAGGATTATCCCCACTTGACTTCTGTGCTTCGGTTCCCCAGATGCAGAGACTTTTCCCAAGGTCATACAGGTGGGTGGCTAAGCCACAAATAAAATACAAATCTTCTGGCTTCTGTACTGCTAGTCCTTTATTTTAAATATTGGATAAAGATATTTGGAAATAAGAGCAGAACTGACTTTACATTTTTGATAAAGCTTGAAATTGGTATAGAAAGTCTAACTATACTCATGCAACACTGATGGGCAAACCCTCCCTTGTTCCCTGTTATGCTATGGCTCTCTGAAGTTTGATGGATTTCTCTGTTAGTTTACTTCCTTCTGGGATCCCAGTTCCATCCCCTGGAGCAAAACTTAAACTCTTCCATGGTATGTGGGAGGGAAGGCCACAGTACTGTGGGAGGGTTTTATCAGCCCAAGTTCTGATAATCCATGCCATCTCTGGAACAAAATCCTTGCCTATTCTACTGGGTTGAGGCCGTGTTAATTTACGTCACTCTGTTGGAATTTACTATACCAGTAATTGCTCTTTATTTTGTTTGTTTTTTGCTTTTCCTCATTTCTGTGACCAAATGCTATTGCTGCACTCAGCTTTTAGACAACCCAGCTTTATGCCTATTCTAGATCAATCATCTAGATTGCATCAGCCCAAAGAACCCAGTACCAGCATTGGTATATTGCTCTCATATTATTCCTCAGGTGGGATTGGGAGTTTTTAAAATTGTCACTTGAGTCCTTATCAGACTGTACCTACACCTTACACTCGTGCTTTCAGTTGCTGACTTAAAATGTGAAATTATTTTCCAATTTACACAACTTTTCTTCTTTGCAGCCTGTACTGAAGCATATTCCCAGTCCGATGAACAGTATGCTTGCCATCTTGGGTGCCAGAATCAGCAGCCATTTGCTGCACTGAGACAAGAGCAAGTAAGCATGTAGCATGTTTGTCAAATGCCACGTACTTGTTTTCTGCTGCTCACATTCTCTTTTTTTTTTTCAAATTTAATAAGTGTGTGTGTGTGTGTGTGGAAAGATGGAGAGAAATTCTCTATTTAAAGACTAAAACCTTATTGGGGACAGTGTTAAATTGCTCGAATATGTACAGAACAAATTGAAAACCAGTTAGTGATGTGTTTACAGTTAATGTCCCTGATGCCAAGGATTCATCTCCTTTTCCCTCTGACACTGGTGAGATCATTCTGGAGTGACATGATGGACTCAGCACAGAGCTTCATAACTTCCTCATGGACCTTCTACCTTCAAGCAGATGATGGCAAAATAGTTATATTCCAGGTGCTTGCTTGCTTTTTTACTTTTACAAGACTTTGTGTGTCCTGGGTGTTAACTGTTGATCTCCTGCTTCTTCCAATCACAGAACAGTTAGTAGAGCAGTCTCAGAAAGTAACTGCATGCTTAATGTTTGGCAGCAGTCAGTCTATCTTTGTAGTGGTCACTGGATTTGCAATGTAGAAAGCAAAATTAACTTAAATGGATAGTGTCACAAAATTTTCTCATTTCTTTTGCAAATGTAAATGATGCTTATGGGATGACTATAATTTTATGGTTAATTGAAGCTTTATGAAATACAAACAAGACCTTACAATTTTCATTATTGTTTTAGTCAAAGCCAGAAGTTCAATACATTCCACAGGACACCACAGATCTGAAAGAATCGTTGTTGAGCGAAACATCCTGTAAGTTGGTTTGGGTTCTTTAGAGTGCAAATGAAAATATTCATAACGTGCAAGAGTAAGTCAAATCTTCTACAAAGGGAAAAGTGCATGTCATTATGGGCAGCCTGTCACTCTCACTGTCACCCTGTGTACATTGCAACAAAGGCCACAGTAGTAAACTCCTTTTAAAATGTATTTTAAATATAGCATGGTATTTATGCCCTTGCCACACTGGAATTAGAACCATTTTAAAGAAGTTGTCTACTATCAATGTCTTCATATAGACAGGGACTATATGAGACTAGAGTTTTTAAACATAAATCTTGGGTGTTTTTTTGTTGTTTTTTTTTTAATGTGACCTTATAATGGAGCTGTCGTGATATTTCAGCAGACCTACAGCCAGGAGGTTCACAGACACACAGAGGATTTTTTGAAGAGGAGGAAAGCAAGAGCTTTTTCAAATGTCTTTCTATGTACGTATCTTCTACTGTCTTTTAAAAGCTTAAAGGGTAGGATGACATTCCTTCCCCATATATTTTACATGTCATAGCCTCCATCAGAAAAATCTCAAAATGACAGAACTGTGTTCAAGAAAGATGATGTTTTGGAGGAGATGCTAAAAGGGAGGTTCTGAGCACTTGTGTTAAAGAGCTCACTGCTCCCTTCTCAAGAAAATAGATATTCGCCACAATATACTTGTTGGCTATTTGGCCAACCTAATCTCTCCATTCAATTTAAGCTGACCATGATATTTGTCATTTCCTGTCCCACACTACTGATATTTTGCAGCAAACTGTTAATTTCACTGGTTTCCTAGATCCGGCTGCCTGTCAAGGTGAAGTGATTGATTTGTGTAGTACTTCGGGATTGTCTAGTGTGAAAGGTGCTGTATAAATAAGCAGTTTTACTTTATTTCTAGGTTGATGGGATAAATATAACTTTGCTCTTTTTCTTTAATCTTTGCTACTGAGCAGCCAGATGCGTTCACACACTTCTAGACATACAAAATAATTGGGTCTAAATTAGTTGCAAGAAAGATCTTGGCATCATTATGAGTACACTGAAAACATCCTCTCAATGTGCAGCAGCAGTCAAAAAAGCTAACAATGTTAATAATTAGGAGGGGAATAGATACAAAAATCAGAAAATCCATGGTACACCTACATATTGAATACTTCATACAGTTCAAGTCACCTCATATTGAAAAATATTTTAGAATCAGAAAAGGCACATAAGAACAGCCATACTGGGTCAGACCAAAAGTCCATCTACCCCTTCAACAGTGCCAATGCCAAGTGCCCCAGAGGGAATGAACAGAACAGGTAATGATCAAGTGATATATCCCCTGTCACCCATTCCCAGCTTCTGGCAAACACCATTCCTGCCCATCCTGGCTAATAACCATTGCTGGACACTATCCTCCATTAATTTATCGAGTTTTTTTTTTAATCCTGTTATAGTCTTGGCCTTCACAACATCCTCAGGCAAGGAGTTCCAGAGGTTGACCTTGCGTTGTCAAAAAATACTTCCTTTTGTTTATTTTAAACCTGCTGCCTATTAATTTCATTTGGTGGCCCATAGTTCTTGTATTATGAGAAGGAGTGGGTAACACTTCCTTATTTACTTTCTCCCACACCAGTCATGATTTTATAGACCTCTATCATATCCCCCCCTTAGTCGTCTCTTCTCCAGGCTGAAAAGTCTTATTAATTTCTCCTCATAAGGCAGCAGTTCCATACCCCTAATAATTTTTGTTGCCCTTTTTCTGAACCTTTTCCAAGTCCAATATATCTTTTTTGAGATGGGGCAACCACATCTGCACACAGTATTCAAGATGTGGGTGTACAATGGGTTTATATAGAGGCAATATGATATTTTCTGTCATATTATCTATCCCTTTCTTAATGATTCCCAACGTTCTGTATGCTTTTTTGACTGCAAGTGCACATTGAGTGGATGTTTTCAGAGAACTATCCACAATGACTCCAAGATCTTTCTTGAGTGGTAACAGCTAATTTAGACCCTATCATTTTATATGTATAGTTGGGATTGTTTTCCAGTGTGCATTACTTTGCATTTATCAACATCAACTGTCAACAAAATGATTAGGAGTATGGAACAGCTTTCATATGACGGGAGATTAAAAGGACTGGGACTGATCAGCTTAGAAAAGAGATGATTAAAGGGAGATGTGATAGTGGTCTATAAAGTCATGAATGTTGTGGAGATAGTGAATAGGGAAATGTTGTTGTTTACCCCTTCACATAACACAAGAACTTAGGGTCACCAGATTAAATTACTAGGCAGCTGGTTTAAAACAAACAAAAGAAAATAATACTTCACACACTGCACAGTCAACCTGTGGAACTCAGTGCCCTGGGATGTTGTGAAGGCCAAAAGTGTAACTGGGTTGGGTCCATCAGTGCTATTAGCCAAGATGGTCAGGAACGCAACCCCATGCTCCAGGTATCACTAAACCTCCAACTGCCAGAAGGTGGGACTGGATGACAGTGGGTGGATCACTCGGTTGTCATATTCTGTTAATTCCCTCTGAAGCATCTGGCACTGGCCACTGTCAGAAGACAGGATACTGGGCTAGATGGACCATTGGTCTGACAAGTATGGCCGTTATGTTCTTTAGAATTGTGCTAACCATTTGGCTGCTATTTCCCTGGCATAATGAGGTTCTTAAGGCAGAAAGAGAGATTAGAGATTTAGCTGTCATGCATACAAAATGCAGTTAATAGAGAGATTTGTATGCTAAATAGCTTAAAGCAGGAGTCAGCTTGGGATCTAGTAAAAAAACTGACAGACTTGATTAGTTCTGCTTCCCTATCCTGTACCTGAAGACTGGTAGCTAAGGTGGGGTGGGAGGCTGGTTTCCCAGGCTCCTCCAGTGAAGCATTCAACTGAATGATCTAGACCTGGGAACGCAGATTGGTAAAGGCCAGCATATGTCTTTAGGAATATCCTGTTTTCTTAACCTGTTAAACAACTTTAACGATGTTCATTACATTTCAGAAACTCTGGCTGGATTTTAACGACTACACTTGTTCTCTCCGTACTGGTGCTACTCTGGATTTGTTGTGCTACTGTTGCTACAGCGGTACAGCAGTATGTTCCATCTGAGGTAAAGCTAATTATTCTATAGCTTACGGCACCGTGCAGTTATTCGTATTACTTACTGCCTGAAATGCTCTAAGGTCTTAGGTATAGAGCTGGTGTTTTGGTTCACTGGCAGTTCTGCAAAATTAAAATATGCTAGAATCAAACTAAAAATGTTGGCAGATCAAGTCGGTGCATTTTGATCTGGGTTTAACAAAACGTTTCGTCTGCCTCAAAATGAAGCACTTTGTGTTGTGACATTTTAAAAATAAAGATAAAAGAAATGTATGGTCTAGATTCACAAAATGGGGGGAGAAGGTTGTGGGGGTGCCTCCCTTTATAGTCTTTAGCCCAGTAGATAGGGCACTTAGCTGGGATGTGGGTGACCTGTGTTCCCCTCTCTGCGTGCTCTAGAGCAAGGATTTGAACTTTGATCTCCCACTTGACAGAAGAGTGCCCTATTGGTATTTGGGGCAGGTCTCAATCTCTCAAAGTTGTTCAACTGTGTGTAAGTAAATTAGTCATTGGACCAAGGACATAAATGTGAGTCCCCCATCTCCAAGGTGAGTGCCCATAACCGTGAGGCTATAGTCATTCTCACTCTTTAGCCCAACGACTATTCAAGCATTTTGTTGAAGCTGTTCCACTTTGTATAAGAGACAGTGAAGTGACTGCAGTGTCATGATTAGGGCTCTCACCTTGGAGGTGGGAAACCCAAGTTTGTGTCCTTATTCCAATAACTGTTTAATTACAGTGTTCACACACAGAGTGGAACAACTTCAGCAAAAGAGATTAAGATGTGATCTAATACCCTCCCATATCCCAGTGCTTAGGGCAGTGATACTCAATTAGATCTACCTGTGGGCTGTAGGGTTGCCCGGTGTCTGTTTTTTGACTGAAACATCCAGTCAAAAAGAGACCCTGGTGCTGACCCGGCCACTAAAAATCCAGTCAGCAGGGCTAAGGCAGGCTCCCTGCCTGCTCTGGCTCTGCATGGCTCCTGGAAGCGGCTGGCGTGTTTGCCTCCTATGCACAGGGGTGACCTCGGGAGCTCCGTGCGATGCCCTCACCCCAAGCGCTGGCTCTGCAGCTCCCATTGGCTCCTCTTCCCCATGGTAACCATGTTTGACAACTGGAAATTTGTTTCTAGTACCTTTTTGCCGGAGCAGAAGTATGATTACCGGGAGCATTCACTAAACCATTAAAAGGGTTTTAATAAGATCGTGAAAAGGCTGAGAATGGCCAGAACCTATGGACATGAGTGGCAGGAATCTGATTGGAGGAGGGGAGAAGGGACTTGCTGAATTGACATCTCCCCACTTTCCTTCCTCTAAAAATATGCAAGACTGGCAAGTACCACACTCATTCTGACAGGAACATACCAGTCCTAGCCTGGGACTCAGACTCAACTGTGAACGTGAATTTTAGATAGCATGGAAAATATTTCATAGTAAGAGTTGAAGCATTGCTACTTTGAGGACCTTCAAAACCTCCCTGAGAAATGTATGCTCATAGTTATATGCCAGAAGCTGGGAATGGGCAACGGGATGGATCACTTGATTATCCGTTCTGTTCATTCCCTCTGAAGCACCTGGCATTGGCCACTGTCGGGAAACAGGCTACTGGGCTAGAAGGACTGTTGGCCTGACCCTTTTATGGCCTTTGTGTGTTCTTATGGCTAAGCATGTCTTGAGTCTTGCATTCAGAACCTGTAATGATATGATCTTTTTAAAATAAGTTTAATTATTTCAGAAGTTGAGCATCTATGGAGACTTGGAATACACGAATGAACAAAAACTGACCAGATACCCAGCTTCTGCCCTTGTTGTTGTTCGATGCAAGACTGATGAACAGGAAGAAGCAGGACCTCTACCCACAAAAGTTAATCTGGCTCATTCAGCAATTTAAATAGTTTAAAAGAATTTAATAGACTAATTCTAGCAGTTCTATCAACTCCTGGTGGTTTTTTATGGTTTCTTCAGATGCGGGGCATAGCGGTCAGTGTTTAAATGCAAATAAAGTTACAGAATCAACAAATCAGTCTGTTATGGAATCCTTGTTTTCTTCTAGTAGTGAAGAGAATGGCATGTTTAATTTGCAGGGTTTTTTGTTTTGTTTTTTTCAAATATATGTAATTGCTTTCACTGGAGTTTGTAATGTGTCCTTTTTGCTTAACACAAACTGTAAGCATGCTCTCTAGACTTCTACCATGGCACTTTCAATCAGTCATTTCTAACTGTTCTATGATGAAAGATCAGAATTAGCTCTGTAAAAGTAGAATATAAATTCTAAGTGGGCAGAAGATGCTTAGGTCAGGCATTTTCAGTTGTGAGGAACTAAGAACATTAATTATAGAACTATTTGCAGAAATTTTGTATTATCCGTTCATCCGTTTGTATTGTGTTATCCGTTTGGGAAAAACCCTTTTCCCAAAAATAGAAATATATTTTTTCTACAGTTATCAATATGCAGAGCATTATTGAGGTACTGCAGGTTGAGCTCAGACTGTCAGAAATGCAAGCTTTTAATGACTCATTGACTTATCCTTTTACACACACACAAGTGACATGCTTATTTATTCATCTGACAAACTTTAGCCTTAAACTCTTCAATAGCTTGTTAGGTTAGATCATACTTTTTCTGAAGGAACTCCCTTTGCTGTATTGATTAACTAATTGGGTCCAGTTGTTCCATTGTCAGAAAAAAATTGATTACTGAAAACTGAGAATGGATTTAGAAAAGTAGAATGACTGTAGCCTTTCGCTATGACTCTTAATTAACCATGATGCACTCAGTATGAGACTCATCTACAGCATCCCCCCAATATATGCCACCTGATCACATTCTGCTACATTAGTAAATAACTAATACAATTCAGTAACCATATGAGAGAATATTGTTATAGCTAGTTTGTCCAACACAGTTTTGTTCTTTACTATAGCTGCTATGATCTAGTGGTGCCTGCTAGGCATCTATAAGCAAGAAGGGACTGTGATGGTTTTCCTTACAAAGTCTCTTTGCAAATGTTTAGAAACTGGCCAAAATTCTATCTCAGAGCCTTAACTTTTTGAACTTTGTCTGATTATGTCTACATTCAGGTAAGAAGTAGGCCATAGAAATCTACTGGTTTTGCATAGTTTTTGTACTCTAGCAAAAATTATACTTGAGATGTTCCAGAGAATAGCTCATTACATGAATTAAAACCAGAAGAATAATTTTAAGTTTGGTTGAGAGTGAGGTTTAGAAAAGGGTGAGTTTCTAAAGTTTGAGGACTATATTGTTGTGGTTATAGATCATGTATTATGGGTCCATACTTAGAGTGCATACCACATACACTGTGGTGCTTGCTATATGTGTTCAGCATACACATAGCTGCTACAAATCGGTGTTCTCTTCAAAACTGTGTGCACCATACATTTTTGTCATGAAGGCGTAAGAAGTTCAGAATCTAATTCTTCAAGGGGTCTAGTGTGTTATTGTATAAAACATTGAATTTAAGCCCAATTACATAATAACTTTTGGTTGATGTGGCATTGAAAGAGGATCTGACTTACAACCATGAAAATTGGAGTGAAATGCTGTTCTTAACGTGATGTCTTTATTAAATACCTAGGTTATACAAGGGTCTCAAAATGTGATGGTTGGTTGTGCAGTGCTTTAAAAACACTTTCATAATCTGATGCAGAAAAATAGCTTTTTCTATATGTGTAGTAGTAATCAGTCCTAAGACTCTCATTTCTAGGCAGTTATGTACTTCAGACATCAGTACGCAGCCTTGTTTAATGCAGAATGCTGATGTGTTAGTATCAAATGTAACTTGTGCAATGACAGTTTAAAATCTTTAGGTACAAATGCAGACTTTATACCAGGCTGTGGCTATGGCTGGTATTCTTTGCACTAACTTTGTCTGCAGTGCAGTCTCTGAAGACATTTTAATTATCCCAAATCTTGACTTATAACTAGCATTGAATATAGCATCTATGTAGCATTGAATCTGTTTTCCCTGTGATGTGTGAGTGCTGGAAATCGTGTTTATATAGCCTCACTGAAAGTATAACTGTCCAGTTGCCTGTTTCAGTACTATGTATAGTACAGCTTTCATTATGTCAATGACTTTAATTTTTAACTCATGAGTGTAAAACTGTTTTTTCTTAACTTATCTTTCTAAAGGTGGATGTTTTCAAATGTTTAAATTTTTAATTATATTTGGGTTAATCAACAGCTTCTAGTTTTTATTTTGAGCTGTAATATCTGCCTAAACTTCTGAAAACCAGAAATGAAAGGAAGAAAAAAAAAATCAACCAATAGATATAAAAGTTCAAGTCTTGAGCCTTGCTACTTACCTGAAATGTCACTATACAATGAATAGATGCTGAAGTCCAGGACTCAGTAACACTCTTCTATGGGTGACACCTGCAAAAGTTGAGTTCCTGTAATGAACTTCTCAAGGTATTAATTTCTATAATATAATTTCTGTAGTCCAAAGAACCAGACTTTCACAGTATTATAAATTTCAGGTTTTATCCAGGTATATCTTCTGTTATCAGAATAAAATTAATGCCAGAAGTTCCTACTCTAAATACAGACTGCAATTCAGTCATCTTGGCGTTTGAAAATACAGTAGTTTGTAACCATTGTTGGAGCAGACCTAGGTCCTATTTACCAGTTTTTAAGATGGCAGAACAATCTCTATTCCACTTCCTTATTTTCAGATGCTCTGTTTTCTGAAACACTAATTTTGTGTGCAGTGATTTGGGTTTGGGCTCGGGCTCTGCCCAAAAATTAAAACTTTAGCAAATTGCTTTAAGATATTGTTAACTATTGTCAACTACTTCCTCACCTTCCTCTTCCCCATACTAGTGTACTTGTGACCTCTTCTCTCTTGTTTTGAGAACTCAAAAACATCTAAACTTAGAAACTGGAATCCTAGCATGTCTGTTGCTCAATAAGCACTGTATGATTTAAGTAACAAAAGACTGATAGTTCCTGCTCCCCATGGTACAGTGGCCATAGCTTAGTTATTTTACCATCAGAGTCCTAGGTGAATGGAAGTCATAAGCTTATATGCTTATCTATTCCACTGACTTTATTACTCTGCATCCATCTAGTTAGGGCTTGCATCACCCTACAAGGCTGGCAAATATTACTTTAGTAGACAGAGAAGCTGAGGTACAAAGGTTCTGATTTTGGCCAAAGGCAGTTCCTAATTGAGCTGTGATTTATATATAATCCCACTGCGTAAACCCAAGTGTTATCTAGTAGGGTACAGCAGAGAGTATGCTGGTCTCTGATTTCTTAGTGACTGAAAAAGATGAAATGTTCTTGCTGGGTTCTTAGACTTAACAGCAGAATATGGAGCTATGAGTATTTGTTAACTCTGCTTTGGATCCTGAATGTGATCATGCGGGGTAGGATCATTCCAATTATTCAGAATGATCCAAGAAGAGGATGCTGGATAACTAGCCTCCCTGAGCATGTGCTGCCTGGGGATTTTACTAAATTCTTTTCATTCCTATTTTGACACTCTGCTTTTTTAAAAAGCTTATGTGACAAAAGCCAAGTGGGAGGACCTATTTTTATAGAGGCACATCCTTATAGTCTTACTCTCCTCAACAGCAGCTGTAAATTCTGCATGTGTTGTGGTCATAGGCAATTACACTCAGCATTACTGGGTACCAGAACATCTAATTGAAAATCCTTGTGCATTAACTTACAACACCATTTTAGGTCTAAGCTTAGAAAGTTTAGCATATCGAAAACTGCAAGGAGACAGCATGCCAAGCCGCTTGTGGCTTTGTTTTTTCAACGTAGTAGTCTTCCCAAAGAGGAACAGCAACCCCAATTGAGGATATTACAAAACTCCTTAAACCGCTGGATCAATATTTTGGCTATATGTAGTATTTCCATAAATGGTTTGTATGGTGTATCTTTAACAAACTTCTAGGGCACCAGTCTGCTTCCCCCTGCCAGAGTATGTTCTCCTAGAACAGTCATTTAGGCCGTAAACCTTGCAGGGGCAGGAACTAGCCCTTTATGCCTGGACAGTATCTATCATGTTGTTGAGACTGCAAGGGCAAGAACTATTAAGGGAGCATCAGTGTGAGCCAGAGGCTGACCTAAGATGTGCTATGGGCCTGGAAATTTCAACTTGGTAGGTAAAGGGTAGCCCAAGGTGCTTAAATATATGGAAACTGCTGCATCACCTAGAATCTCATCACAAATGAAGCATGACCTTATCTCATTCAATGTTTGCTGTATGTTTGGGCCAAGCAATAAATCTTATGTGCTCACAGGGCTACAAAATTGCACTGTAGATATCTGGGCTAGGGCTGGCGACTGGGCTCTGGGATTCCATGAGGGAGGAGGGTCTTTAATGGTGTCTTTGTTTTGGGGAAAGGATCTGTCCCTTTCCTACCTGCCACACACACAATTGTCCTTGGTTGCTTTAATCTCCCTTTCAGCTTGGGGCCGCATATCATGGCACTGCTGTCTATTTCCTTTCTAGCACTTTCCCGCAAACCAAAGGGAGCGTCTTTCCCTGACAATGAAGGCAGAAAGATGAAAAATGGAATCAGGTGGGCAAGGTCAGAAGGACGGGCTTTTCCAAAGTGCCTCTGGGCCTCTGCTCCCACGGCAGGCAGTTGGAGCTGTACACGCACTTCAGTGGGAGCAAAGTCAGGCCGGTGACAAGCACTTCCAGAAATCCCACACCAACGCTCTATGGCAGTTACCTAGTGTCTACAGCACACAATAACTTCAAGGTTGTTTGTTAACACAGTGACACTCAGCGTTCTGGCTGGGGCCAGCTAATGCAGACAGACCGCAGCCTTTCCTGCAGCTCTGCCAAAGCTCCTCCCGCCCTGCCAGCCCAGCTCCAAGTACAGCTTTAGTTGTGCTGAGCGGTGTGGTGTTTGCTAATGTGTCCACTAGGGACCAGGCTATGACCACCCAACTCCCTCTCACTTCCGCCCAGAGCCAGAGAAAATGCTGATGCTGCCTCTCCTGCCATCCATCAGGCCCTGTATCATATGTGTATGACTATAGATTAGAATGACTCTTTCTTGTCTACCTCTGTTTCTCTTAGTAACCAGGTAACACTGCAGCAGTGCCCTTCATGGTGTAGACTCCTATTAAAACAGAGCCATCTGAAAGACGATCTGCCTGTAAATGGCATGGCTGAACCCTGTCCTGGAAAAAAATTCCAAGGCTTTTACAACTACTACTAAGTAAAACATTGTGGCTATACCTAAATATGAGCAGAACTCATCCTCAGGTAATTTTATCTCCTTTGATAAATGTAATGACTTTTTTTAAAGAATGCTGATATGCATTCAGTTTGTCTGGCCTCTTTCCTGCTGGTTGCTGTACAATATCTAATAGTTTATAAATAAAAGTAATTCCACCAAAAGAAAAACATTTATCTTAAATGCTGAAATTTTATTAGCTTTTGCTTTACAAATGGGTGAATGAGATGCAAAGACAATCTAGCAACCATTTTGTTAATGAAATATCTTCCACATTTTAAGATGAAATGATCTTTCTTTTTATGACAGGTTTCAGAGGAACAGCCGTGTTAGTCTGTATTCGCAAAAAGAAAAGGAGTACTTGTGGCACCTTAGAGACTAACCAATTTATTTGAGCATGAGCTTTCGTAGCTCATGAAAGCTCATGCTCAAATAAATTGGTTAGTCTCTAAGGTGCCACAAGTACTCCTTTTCTTTCTTTTTATGTAAAGGTAATGAGATGTATAAAATGTATTCCTGTATAAAATGACACAGAAGCACCAGAAAAATGTAACTAACAGTATTTGAAATTACCTGTAAACATTGCTTCTTTAAGCTATGTATTTTATTTCTGTTTTTTATAGAGAAATTTTGGTAGAATCTCATTTGATTCAACAAAGTTCTCCCCTGAAGAAAGAGGTAATTAACAAAGTATAATTGAGTGGCTTGGTAAAGAAAGTAGAAATCAATAGATACTTGTATTTTATATTATGTGGATAAGAAGAATGTAATGTTTTACAGTCTCTTGAGTGGCTTTTCTTTTACTAATGATAGGAAAACTGTCTAGAATATAAGACTGATGGGTATAAACTGCCTCTTTCTGGTCTGGAAATGGCATGCTATTTGGTACATAGTACTGCATGCAACATCTTGTAGCAACGGAATCTTTTTGTGAAGGAAGAGACTCATGAAGAATTTCTAAACGCCCTGCAAGTTCTTCATGTATTTAAAAAAAAAATGTCCTATACTCATCTGGGTGACATCTGCATTGCCAACTTCAGCCATTGTTGTTTATTGTCCATTTAAAAATAAAAATGTGAAAATAATAAAATTCAGTAGGAAATATTTGAAAGTCGGGAAGCAATGGCACTTTATTGCTATAATTCTCACAGTGGTAACATTGGTTGCAGTCATTATACTTAATGTTTGTAAACACTTTCCTGTCATAAACACACGTTCTATTTTCACATGCTCATGATTTTCTGAAATGTTTGCCTTTGGAGATGAACGGTTCCCTGTGTACTCTTTGTACAAAGGTGAATTGTGAGTGTTTCAAATGGGGCCAAAATCTCAACAGTGGGGCAAAGACCATGCTTTCATACCTGTTTGTACACCGCTGAGCACAGCTGGCACTTGACAAATTGCTAATTAAATGCAAACACTATGTTAATGCAACATTACAATTTTGCCGATAAACACTCATGGTCGGAAAAAAATAAGGTGGAACATGCATTCTACTCCTTTGGACTGATGTCTTATGACAGTCTTTAATTATGTGATTACATACTGTTTCTCAAACAACATACTGAAATAAGGGTTTTTTTTCCCCCCGATTACTTTAGAAACGTGTGATGCTATGGAAATGTGATGGTGAATTTGTAGACATAATATGGTGTATAGGGAACAGAGCTAAGGGTTTGTGGTCAGCTTTAACTTGCACATTTCCTGACTTTTGGGCACTTAACTGTGCAACCTTAAGGTTGTAAAAATGCAGTTTTAGCATTTCATTTCCTAGGTTTTGCTTTGTTTTTTCTTTTTTTTTTTTTTAAATGGTCTATTACAACCCCAACTCTCTAATTCTTTTCTCTGGTCTTTAAGTAGTCATTGTGAGGGTCTATTCTGTAACAATTTCTCATTAGTATTGGCTCGGTCCCTATAGCAGAATGTAACATGCTAGTGGTGAGAGTAGGAGTCTTGATATCCTAAGGGAACATCCTGCTCCATTAGGACATAAAAATAGCTGTACTGGGTCAGACTAATGGTCCATCTCGCCCAGTATCCTGTCTTCCTACAATGACCTGTGCCAGATGCTTCAGAAGGAATGAACTGAAGAGGGATTATTGAGTGATCCATCCCCTGTCATCCAGTCCTGGTTTCTGTCAGTCATAGGTTTAGGGACACTCAGAGAATGGGGTTGCATCCCTGACTATCTTGACTAATAACCATTGAAGGACCTATCTTCCATGAATGTATCTAATTCTTTTTTGAACCCAGTATACTTTTGGCCTTCACAACATCCCCTGGCAATGAGTTCCACAGGTTGACTGTGTTGTATTTTGTTTAAACCAGCTGCCTATTAATTTCATTGGGTGATCCCTTGTTCTTATGTTATGTGAAGAGGTAAATAACACTTTTTCTCCACGCCATTTATGACTTTATAGACCTCTATCATATTCCCCGTTAGTTTTTAATCTGTTCTCATATGGAAGTTGTTCTATACCCCTAATCATTTTTTTTGCTTCTCTGTATCTTTTCCAATTCTAACATATTTTTGTTGAGATGGGGCAACCAGAACTGCATGCAGTATTTGTGATGTGGGGTACCATGGATTTAGATAGTGGCATTATAATCTTTTCTATTTTATTATCTATCCCTTTCCTTAATGGTTCCTAATATTCTGTTAGATTTTTTGATGGCTGCTGCACATTGAACAGATGTTTTCAGAGAACTTCTATGATGACTCCGAGATCTCTTTCTTGAGTGGGAACAACTACTTTAGACCCCATCTTTTTTATGTATGGTTGGGATTATGGTTTCCTATGTGCATTATTTTGCATTTATCAACATTGAACTTCATCTGCCATTTTGTTGCCCAGGCACCTAGTTTAGCGAGATCCCTTTGTAACTCCTTGCAGCCAGCTTTGGACTTAACTATCTTGAGTAATTTTGTATTGCCTGCAAACTTTGCCACTTCACTATTTCCCCTTTGACGAATAATTGATCATTGATGAATAATTTGAGCAGCACTGGTCCCTATACAGATCCTTGGGGCACTCTATTTACCTCTTTCCATTGATTGGTGAGGCATGATTTCCCTTTACAAAAGCCATTTTGACTCTTCCCCAACATTTTGTATTCATCGATGTGTCTGATAATTCTGTTCTTCGCTACAGTTTCAGCCAATTTGCCTGGTACTGAAGTGAGGCTTACCGACCTGTAATTGCCAGGATTGCTTCTGGAGTCCTTTTTTAAAAATCAGCATTACGTTAGCTGTCTTCCATTATCTGGTACAGAGGCTGATTTTAAGCATTGGGTTACATATCACAGTTAGTGATTCTGCAATTTCATATTTGAGTTCCTACAGAATTCAATACATCTAGTCCTGGTGACTTATTACTACGGCGCTACCAAATTCACAGTCCATTTCGGTCAATTTCATGGTCATAGGATTTTAAACATCATAAATTTCTTGAATTCAGCTATTTATGTCAGTGTTGTAATTGTAGGTGTCCTGACCCAAAAAGGAATGTGGGGGGGGTCACAAGGTTATTTTAAGGGGGGTTGCTGTACTGCTACCCTTACTTGTGCGCTGCTGCTGGGGGTGGTGCTGCCTACAGAGCTGGGCGGCAGGAGAGCAGCAGCTGCTGGCCAGGAGCCCAGCTCTGAAAGCAGAGCTGCCGCCAGCAACAGTGCACAAGTCAGGATGGCACGGTGTGGTCTGGCCACCCTTCCTTCTGCACTGCTGCTGGCGGGGCGCTGCTTTCAGAGCTGAGCGCCTGGCTAACAGCTGCCACTTTGCAGCCGCTCAGTTCTGAAGGCAGTGCAGAAGTAAGGGTGGCAATCCTGCGACCCCCCCCCCCCGCAACTCCCTTTTGGGTCAGGACCCCCAATTTGAGAACTGCTGATCTCCCCATGAAATCTGTATAACAAAGGGTAAAAGCACACAAAAGATCAGATTTCACAGTCTGTGATGCATTTTTTATGGCAGAGAATTTGGTAGAGCCCTGCTTATTACTTTTTAATTTAGCAGTTTGTTCCAAATCCATCTCTATTGACACCTCAGTCTGGGACAGCTCCTCAGATTTGTCATCTAAAAAGTACATCTCAGGTGTGGGGATTTCCCTCACACCCTCTGCGGTGAACACTGATGCAAAGAATTCATTGATGTTGATGAGAGTTTTGCCACTCATTTAATGGGCCAGCATTTCTCCTGGGGATCTACTCCTAGCCCTACCTTGGACTTTCTCTGTTATTTAACTCTCCTGTGCCTTAGTTACCCTCACCTGTAAAATGACAATAGCTTGCTTTACTTTAGGTTTTATTAGAGTAGCGCCCGTCACCTTTGTAAAGGGCTTTGAGCTTCCTTGAGGAAAGATACTGTAGGGGAGCAAAGTTCTTCTCATTTCACAGTCCACTTGAATATGTTCGGTATAGTTTTGAATTTAACCTTTCATTCAGTTCTTGCACATTATCACCTCTGTTTCAACTTACTGTGTCACTGGTCTGCTGGCACTGACAGCATTACTAAGGAGTGTGTTGACAGAGAGAGAACACACAGACTAAATCCTTAACAACTGATTATGCTCATAGATTTTTGAGATATTAGAAGCAGAGCTGAACATTGGTGAATGTTCACATTAATTTTTAAACCTAAATTTGCTCTGACTGAGTTCAACTCCTGTTGTGTTCATTTTGCTGGAAATATTCTAGTGAACAAGCTTAGTTAGCACGAGTCAGCTCTTTGGCGCGTGGAGCATCTTTTTGTTTTGTGTCTGTGCAGTGCGTACCACAATGAGGTCCTGGTCCGTGACGAGGGTTTCTAGGCAACACCACTATACAAATAATAATAAGTAGTTATGAAACCAAATGTTAAGCTCAGATGTTCGCCGAAAGGACATTCTAAATAGTAACCAACAACGAGAATTCTCAATTTTAAATTATACTTGCCAGTATGTGCGCTTTTGTTACCCAGTACCATAAGACAGTCAGTCATGTAACAAAAATGATATCACGTGATCCATGAAACTAACCAACACAGCACATGTTTTGAATTTCAAATATTTCCAGTTCTTCTTTGCTCAAAAACTTAGGGAATAACTTTGAATAATGAATGAATGTGAGAATTTTGCAGTCTGTTTGCTTAAACTGCAGTTTACAATGTTCAACTCACTTTAACCCCTGCTCGTCATTTGTGAATCCTCTGACATTAGGTCCCTTTTATTGTCACAGATCACTGCCATGAATGCAGGGCATGTTTAAGTTGTACTCGAAGATGCCTCTGTATCTCCATTATTGCGCTGCTTGCACTTGGCGTCGTAGGTGCTGTCATTGGTTTTGCTGTCACATTTGGACTCCCACCACCCACTCCAGGTCAGTCTGGTATTTTTTTCTGTCTAAACAAGTTAGTGAACCTCCAGCCAAAGTGCTGCCATTTTTTCAATAAGTTAGACATAGAAGGCGCCACTTGAAACCTGGAGACGGGAGAGGAAGAGAAGGAGAGAGATGAATTTGCTCCATTCCAAACTCTTGGTGACGCACACTACTCAGAATGTACGCTTGTCCTTGGATCTTTAATAGGATTGTTGTAAATCTCTCGTACTTTGTGTGGGTGGCGTAATCACATTTTAATACACTTAGGCCTCTAATGTAGAAGAGCATGTTAGCAGGTAGGATCCATGTATAAATAGACCGCTGGTCAGTTCCAGGGTGGCAACTGAATTCCTGAAGTTCTTAATTTTTTTCTTCTGGTTAAAAATATCTTTTTGGTCTGGGCCTTGTGCTCTTGGTGAATGTGGAAATGTCTGTTAGATCTGGTGACCAGAGAGCAATTGTGATAAATCAAGATGGGTGGGAGGTATTAGGCACCTATATAAGACAAAGCCCCAAGTATCAGGACTGTCCCTGTAAAATCTGATCAATCAGTATCTAAGCTCATTTATGTCCTGATTTCTTTTCAGTGAACCGTTTCTGTGTGACTTCAGGTAACCAGACTGGCTTTTTATGTGATGACAGAGTGACTTGCCTTCCAGCCAGTAGGATCTGCAACAGAATCAGAGAGTGTGTTAATGGAGAGGATGAGCAGGAGAAATTATGTAGTAAGCTTTTTTTTTCTTCAACATCTTCTCCCTGTGATGGTTTCTCCAGTCCTCCTGTGCATGCTCCTCACAACCCCTGGTTTCCTCATGTTCCCCCATACTCAAAGCTCCATACTTTAGCACAGAATAACTGAACAGAACTCTTCATAACCCAGCTGCTGAATGACCAGTTTGTTCAAGGCTGCACCAGGAGTCTGTGGAGAACCAGAAACAGAAGCGTCCAGGTCCCTTGATTTGCACTTGTGAGCCTTAATCATGAGGCCTCCCTCCTCCTTTGATGAAGTTATTCATAATATGATTAAATGGCCCTAGTGACAGAGCATCGTGTTAACATGTGGAAGATCTGGTTTTGATTTATGGGTAAGTCAGTGACAGAACAGATGGTCTTGTTAAAGCAGTGGACAGGGAACCAGGAGATCTGGTCTGTACACCTGGCTCTGAGGCAAACTTCCCATGAGACTTTGGGCAAGTCACTTATACGCTCAGTACCTCAGTTTCCCTATTTTTAAATGGGGAATAAGCACATTTCCCTCCATCTACCAGGGGGGTCATGTAGTTTAATATTTTTCACGTGCTTTGAGATCTTTGCATGGAAGGAGAACATAGAAGTGTAAAATAATATTAATAGTTAATAATTGGTTTCTCAGCCATTATATTTATGTCCAACTGTTGTTGAGTGAAGTCAGAACATTTCACCATCTTCAGGTGTCTCATCTTGTAGATGATTTGCCCAGTAGCCTTCCAGGATACTTGATCTTCCGCTGCAGCAACCCTGTATACTGGATCTATGCTGATAAGAAGTGTAATGGCGCAAATGACTGTGGAGACTGTTCTGATGAAAAGGGGGCCTGTAAGTCAGCCACTTTTTTTCACTGATGTAAAAAATAGTTGAAGGGCTTGGTGTTTGTAAAGGATGGTGGACTGACAATCTCAGAGACTGACATCCTCCTTTTACCCACAAGATAGATCAGTGGTTCTCAAACTTTTGTACTGGTGACCCCTTTCACACAGCAAGCCTCAGAGTGTGATTTCCCCCTTAAATATATAAAAAAGTGTTTTTAATTTATAACACCATTATAAATGCTGGAGGCAAAGCTGGGTTTGGAGTGGAGACTGACAGATTGCAATCCCTCATGTAATAACCTCACAACTCCCTGAAGGGTCCCGACCCCCAGTTTGAGAACCCCTGAGATAGGTAGAATGTGAGTAACAACAGTGCAGACTTCTTCAAGTCATCCCACAAAGCTACTTCAACCTTGCCCTTCATTCAGGTGCTATGACCCTCTCAGTCCTTGGTCTGTCTGCTGAGACTGTCAACAAGCATGCCAGATATGGTGGTTTTGTTATGTAGACATCTGTTCAATGGTCACTGGATTGTCACCACCAATTTAATGTCACATACGCTGCCAAGCAGACATCTGATGCTAATAACTCTTGATCACTAACAACTTGGGCCATATTCAGACTTACGACCTAGAGGTGAAAGGCTTCATAGCCCATTGCCAATCCCCTGAGCCATTCATTCTCTGGTGTACGCTGACTTTGGATTGATTTTCTCTCAAAGAATGACTGTAACCAGCTGCCTAAATTCAAAACTAATGGCTGATTCTTATGAACAGCAGCTTACTAAGTGCCAGCTGGAATTTAACACCTAAAAAGGTGCCTATTTGAAAATTGAAGCTAAAGGTTAGGATTTTCAAAGCAGCCTAGGAAAGGCAGACACATCTTCCGCTGAAATTAATGGAATTGTGTATCTAAATCACCTAGCCTGTTTTGAAAATCTCAGCCACAACATGCAGACCTGAACTGATGCATATCAGCAGCTGCATCTAGGGAAGCTAGTTTCAGATATACAGATAGTAACATTTGAGTAATGGCATTTGTATGTCATGAATGTTAACTGGCTGCTCCTCTCACTGGTAGCTAACTGTCCCTGACTTCTGGAGATAGTACTGACTAAGGGACCCTTTTACATGGCAGGTTCGTGTACCCACCCGTATCTACTGCCTCTAAGAAATTAGGTGGCTGCTTAAGGTTAAATATTCTGGTGCTGGGTGAAAGCTTTTCTTTCTTGTGCATTTTCTATATCTATTAGGTGAGAGTTCAGATCTGCCAACGTAAAGTCTAAAATGTAACGTAAGAAAAGCAGAAGAGCCAATGGCCCCTGTTTTCTTTTCACCCTAGTGGCTAGCTGCCCTCCTTGCGGGACTCAGTGGTGGAGCTGCACACCAGTGTTTTACGAGTATTGCACCTGCATTCCCAGGGCCCTCTGCCGAGACAGAATCCAGCACTGCTCAGACTGGTCCGATGAGTATGCCTGCAATAGATGAAGTACCTAGAGCCAAGAGGTAGCTACGCCCCCTCAGGGCATGGTCTGCATTCTCACCTGCTAGTCTTCTGCTGCTGCTGCTTTAATACCCTGGGTTGAAGCTTTTGTTTGAAAATGGCATGGCCTAGCGGTTTCCTGACTACCATGCAACAGCACTGAAAGGAGGAGGAGTACTATATAACAGACTCAGCAGAGGACTGGAAACTAGGAATCGCACAGTTCTAATCCTGTCTGTTGCTGACTCGCTGTGAGATCATGGGCAAGTCGCTCACCTTACTATGTCTTGGTTTCCCCATCTGTAAAATGGGGATAATAATACTGCTCTACCTCCCAGGGTGTGGTGATGGTAAACTAGTTACCACCTGTAAAGTACTTTGAAGATACACAGTGCTACCTATGGGTTGAGGTTGTGATTGTTGAGTTGTATATGCAAGTCTGCAGGGAGAGGAGGGAAATTACAGTAGACAGGAAATTAGTTTTTCTTTCCTTTTTAGGGAAAAAAACGACAAATACAGATTAAGTATCAACTAAAATAATAATAAAACCAATAAGTGACCTCACACTCTTTTTGGTTTTGATAACAGCAGTCATTGCTAATTGATCTCTAATCTGTTAGCATGAAAGGAGGAGAAATTCCCTGAGTCTTTTATAGCTCTAAACTATATGAAACCAGGTCGCATTGCTGTCTACCTGTTTAAAAAAATAAATCGTGGTAAATATCCCCTGAAATTAAATTGGGTCTATTTCTTTTCTGCAGAACTATTTCTGATGTGAAAATGAGGGGGAATTTTAATATAAGGCTTTTAAAATAAGTGATATAAAAATGTTACCTGTATTCTTCCATCAGTTTGTTGTTGTGAGGGACGGAGACACCATTTGTTAGCAGTACTGTATACGTTGTGTTGTAGTATCTCCTTTTGTGACTGATCATAAAGCAGTCCCTCCAGGTGTATGTGTAAGACCCAGTTGCTCATCCCACGGTGAAATAGTAGTGACTTTATAGGGGGTCAGGTGGACAAGATGCGATGGTGGGCAAAGGGCCACCCCAAAAAGTGAGGTGAGCACAGAAGTGTACATTAGAGTTGGGTAGAACAGTCTGAGCTCTGCACGTGTGCAGGTGTTACATGGGAGCCTTTCTAGCCCTGAACTTCGAGTGTCCATCATCATGTCCTTTCTGTGCTTCAGCACTTAGGAGTAGGACCTCTTCACAATCCCCAAGCAGAAAACCCAGTGCTCTGTGGCAGAAACCAGATGCCTAAATGAATGACCACAGGTACCAAGCAGAACACAGAAACAGCTACAATTTCAAACAGAGGAAAAGGCAGAGAGGAGAAACCCACCTTACAAAACCACTTTGCCTGCAAAGCCATTCAGCAACAACCTACTAAAGGCTATCTTTCTGTCAGGCTTCCAGACTGGTCCCTCAGGTGGAGTATTGTTTGTTTTGCCTGTATTATGTGTCTGAGCCCTGGTCTACACTAGGACTTTAGGTCGAATTTAGCAGCGTTAAATCGATTTAAACCTGCACCCGTCCACACAATGAAGCCCTTTATTTCGACTTAAAGGGCTCTTAAAATCGATTTCCTTACTCCACCCCTGACAAGTGGATTAGCGCTTAAATCGACGTTGCCGGCTCGAATTTGGGGTACTGTGGACACAATTCGATGGTATTGGCCTCCGGGAGCTATCCCAGAGTGCTCCATTCTGACCGCTCTGGACAGCGCTCTCAACTCAGATGCACTGGCCAGGTAGACAGGAAAAGAACCGCGAACTTTTGAATCTCATTTCCTGTTTGGCCAGCGTGGCAAGCTGCAGGTGACCATGCAGAGCTCATCAGCACAGGTGACCATGATGGAGTCCCAGAATCACAAAAGAGCTCCAGCATGGACCGAACGGGAGGTACGGGATCTGATCGCTGTTTGGGGAGAGGAATCCGTGCTATCAGAACTCCGTTCCAGTTTTCGAAATGCCAAAACCTTTCTGAAAATCTCCCAGGGCATGAAGGACAGAGGCCATAACAGGGACCCGAAGCAGTGCCGCGTGAAACTGAAGGAGCTGAGGCAAGCCTACCAGAAAACCAGAGAGGCGAACAGCCGCTCTGGGTCAGAGCCCCAAACATGCCGCTTCTATGATGAGCTGCATGCCATTTTAGGGGGTTCAGCCACCACTACCCCAGCCGTGTTGTTTGACTCCTTCAATGGAGATGGAGGCAATACGGAAGTAGGTTTTGGGGACGAAGAAGATGATGAGGAGGAGGTTGTAGATAGCTCACAGCAAGCAAGCGGAGAAACCGGTTTTCCCGACAGCCAGGAACTGTTTCTCACCCTAGACCTGGAGCCAGTACCCCCCGAACCCACCCAAGGCTGCCTCCTGGACTCAGCAGGTGGAGAAGGGACCTCTGGTGAGTGTACCTTTTAAAATGCTATACATGGTTTAAAAGCAAGCATGTGAAAGGATTACTTTGCCCTGGCATTTGCGGTTCTGCCTTTGCAAAAGGTTTCTGGGGAGGGCAGCCTTATTTTGTCCTTCATGGTAGGACACTTTACCACTCCAGGCCAGTAACACGTACTGGGGAATCACTGTAGAACAAAGCATTGCAGTGTATGTTTGCTGGCATTCAACCAAAATCCGTTCACGCGGTGGGAGGAGGCAAAATGCGACCTTGTAACGAAAGCACATGTGCTATGTATGTAATGTTAACAGCAAGGTTTACCCTGAAAGAGTGTAGCGACTGTTTTATAAAATGTCTTTTTAAATACCGCTGTCCCTTTTTTTTTTCTCCACCAGCTGCATGTGTTTCAATGATCACAGGATCTTCTCCTTCCCAGAGGCTAGTGAAGCTTAGAAAGAAAAAAAAACGCACTCGCGATGAAATGTTCTCCGAGCTCATGCTGTCCTCCCACACTGACAGAGCACAGACGAATGCGTGGAGGCAAATAATGTCAGAGTGCAGGAAAGCACAAAATGACCAGGAGGAGAGGTGGAGGGCTGAAGAGAGTAAGTGGCGGGCTGAAGACAGGGCTGAAGCTCAAAGGTGGCGGCAGCGTGATGAGAGGAGGCAGGATTCAATGCTGAGGCTGCTGCAGGACCAAACCAGTATGCTCCAGTGTATGGTTGAGCTGCAGCAAAGGCAGCTGGAGCACAGACTGCCACTGCAGCCCCTCTGTAACCAACCGCCCTCCTCCCCAAGTTCCATAGCCTCCACACCCAGACGCCCAAGAACGCGGTGGGGGGGCCTCCGGCCAACCAGCCACTCCACCACAGAGGATTGCCCAAAAAAAAGAAGGCTGTCATTCAATAAATTTTAAAGTTGTAAAGTTTTAAAGTGCTGTGCTTAAAGTGCTGTGTGGCATTTTCCTTCCCTCCTCCACCACCCCTCCTGGGATACCTTGGTAGTCATCCCCCTATTTGTGTGATGAATGAATAACGAATGCATGACTGTGAAGCAGCAATGACTTTATTGGCTCTGCAAGCAATGATTAAAGGGAGGAGGGGAGGGTGGTTAGCTTACAGGGAAGTAGAGTGAACCAAGGGGCGGGGGGTTCATCAAGGAGAAACAAACAGAACTTTCACACCGTAGCCTGGCCAGTCATGAAACTGGTTTTCAAAGCTTCTCTGATGCGTACCGCGCCCTCCTGTGCTCTTCTAACCGCCCTGGTGTCTGGCTGCGCGTAACCAGCAGCCAGGCGATTTGCCTCAACCTCCCACCCCGCCATAAACGTCTCCCCCTTACTCTCACAGATATTGTGGAGCACACAGCAAGCAGTAATAACAGTGGGAATATTGGTTTCGCTGAGGTCTAAGCGAGTCAGTAAACTGCGCCAGCGCGCCTTTAAACGTCCAAATGCACATTCTACCACCATTCTGCACTTGCTCAGCCTGTAGTTGAACAGCTCCTGACCACTGTCTAGGCTGCCTGTGTATGGCTTCATGAGCCATGGCATTAAGGGGTAGGCTGGGTCCCCAAGGATACATATAGGCATTTCAACATCCCCAACAGTTATTTTCTGGTCTGGGAATAAAGTCCCTTCCTGCAGTTTTTGAAACAGACCAGAGTTCCTGAAGATGCGAGCATCATGCACCTTTCCCGGCCATCCCACGTTGATGTTGGTGAAACGTCCCTTGTGATCCACCAGAGCTTGCAGCACTATCGAAAAGTACCCCTTGCGGTTTATGTACTCGGCGGCTTGGTGCTCCGGTGCCAAGATAGGGATATGGGTTCCGTCTATGGCCCCACCACAGTTAGGGAATCCCATTGCAGCAAAGCCATCCACTATGACCTGCACATTTCCCAGGGTCACTACCCTTGATATCAGCAGATCTTTGATTGCGTGGGCTACTTGCATCACAGCAGCCCCCACAGTAGATTTGCCCACTCCAAATTGATTCCCAACTGACCGGTAGCTGTCTGGCGTTGCAAGCTTCCACAGGGCTATCGCCACTCGCTTCTCAACTGTGAGGGCTGCTCTCATCTTGGTATTCATGCGCTTCAGGGCAGGGGAAAGCAAGTCACAAAGTTCCATGAAAGTGCCCCTACGCATGCGAAAGTTTCGCAGCCACTGGGAATCGTCCCAGACCTGCAACACTATGCGGTCCCACCAGTCTGTGCTTGTTTCCCGAGCCCAGAATCGGCGTTCCACAGCATGAACCTGCCCCATTAGCACCATGATGCATGCATTGTCAGGGCCCATGCTTTCAGAGAAATCTGTGTCCATGTCCTGATCACTCACGGGACCGCGCTGACGTCGCCTCCTCGCCCGGTATCGCGTTGCCATGTTCTGGTGCTGCATATACTGCTGAATAATGCGTGTGGTGGTTAATGTGCTCCTAATTGCCAAAGTGAGCTGAGCGGGCTCCATGCTTGCCGTGGTATGGCGTCCGCACAGAAAAAAGGCACGGAACGATTGTCTGCCGTTGCTCTGATGGAGGGAGGGGCGACTGACGACACGGCTTACAGGGTTGGCTTCAGGGAGCTAAAATCAACAAAGGGGGTGCCTGTACATCAAGGAGTATTTCAGGCAGGACTGCACGGAGGGTTCCAATAAGAAATGGTGCACCTAAGTTATCGTTGTTATTGGAACAAGGAGGTTAGCCTGGCCTCTGATTGATACATGGCTAGATTTACCTCGCTGCACCTTCTCTGTGAGTGACTGCAGTGTGACCTAGAGGAATGAGTCCCCTAGACAGGGGAGGAGGCAAATGAGTACAAAACAAATCTGGTCTATTTCTTGTTTTGACCCACTCCATCTATCTTTTACATCTTTGGCTGGCAGCAGATGGTGCAGAAGGACTGCATGCCATCCACATCTCATGGCTGCTCGGCAGAAGATGGTACAGTACGACTGCTAGCCATCCCCATCTCTTGCCTGCCTGGCAGAAGATGGTGCAATACGACTGCTAGCAATCCTCATCTCTTGCCTGCCTGGCAGAAGATGGTACAGTACGACTGCTAGCAGTCCGTATCGCCTGCCCGCTCACCATAAGACGGTTCAATAGGACTGACTGCAGGACTAAAGAGAATGACCTGGTCAAGTCACTCCAAATTTAGTCCCTGCGACCATGTCTGCCCAGGCGCTCCCAGCCGACGCGGCCAGGAGCACCTCGGACACGATGAGGACGACTACCAATCGTATTGCACCGTCTGCTGCCAGAAGGCAAGGGGTTGCTGCTACTGTGCAGCAAAGCCGTACCGCGTCTGCCAGCACCCAGGAGACATAGGGTGACGGTTACCTGAGCGGGCTCCATGCTTGCTGTGGTATGGCGTCTGCACAGGTAACTCAGGAAAAAAGGCGCGAAATGATTTGTCTGCCCTTGCTTTCACGGAGGGAGGGAGGGAACGGGGGCCTGACGACACGTACCCAGAACCACCCGCGACAATGTTTTAGCCCCATCAGAGTGCTCCATTGTGACTGCTCTGGACAGCACTCTCAGATGCCCGATTGTTTGCCATTGCTCTGACGCTGGGAGGGGCGCTTACAGGGTTGGCTTCAGGGAGCTAAAATCAACAAAGGGGGTGGCTTTACATCAAGGAGTATTTCAGGCAGGACTTCACGGAGGGTTCCAATAAGAAATGGTGCACCTAAGTTATTGTCCTTATTGGAGCAAGAAGGTTAGCCTGGCCTCTGATTGATACATGGCTAGATTTACCTCGCTGCACCTTCTCTGTAAGTGACTGCAGTGTGATCTAGAAGAATGAGTCCCCTAGACAGGGGAGGGGGGAAGCAAATGAGTACAAAACAAATCTGGTCTATTTCTTGTTTTGATCCACTCCATCTATCTTTTACATCTTTGGCTGGCAGCAGATGGTGCAGAAGGACTGCATGCCATCCACATCTCATGGCTGCTCGGCAGAAGATGGTACAGTACGACTGCAAGCAGTCCGTATCGCCTGCCCGCTCACCATAAGACGGTTCAATAGGACTGACTGCAGGACTAAAGAGAATGACCTGGTCAAGTCACTCCAAATTTAGTCCCTGTGCCCATGTCTGCCCAGGCGCCCCTGATCGACCTCACAGAGGCGACCAGGAGCACCTCAGACATGACGATGACGGCTACCAGTCGTACTGTACCGTCTGCTGCCACAAGGCAAGGGGTTGCTGCTACTGTGTAGCAATGCCGTACCGCGTCTGCCAGCACCCAGGAGACATAGGGTGACGGTTACCTGAGCGGGCTCCATGCTTGCCATGGTATGGCGTCTGCACAGGTAACTCAGGAAAAAAGGCGCGAAATGATTGTCTGCCCTTGCTTTCACGGGGGGAGGGAGGGAACGGGGGGCTGACGATATGTACCCAGAACCACCCGCGACAATGTTTTAGCCCCATCAGGCATTGGGATCTCAACCCAGAATTCCAATGGGCAGCGGAGACTGCGGGAACTGTGGGATAGCTACCCACAGTGCAACGCTCCGGAAGTCGACGCTTGCCTCGGTACTGTGGAAGCGCTCCGCCGAGTTAATGCACTTAATGCACTTAGAGCATTTTCTGTGGGGACACGCACACTCGAATTTATAAAACCGATTTCTAAAAAACCGACTTCTATAAATTCGACCTTATTCCGTAGTGTAGACATACAGTTGGATGGTCAGTTTATGATGGTAGGGACCTTATCTTCCTTTGTTTGTACGTTGTTCAGCTAATAATAAGGGCCAGAACAGAGGGAGAAATGGAAACATGGATTGAAGCAAGTTTGCCTTTGGGGTGTGTGTCAGAATGTTGGGCAACAACAGCAGTGCCCACACTGATCATTATATCACCAATTAAATCACCTCAGGCTAAGCGGGGGGATAGCTGTGCCTGTTTGACAGATTAGAATGGGCTGGGGAGAGGTAAAGCACTAATTAACCCGAGGGAGTAGAACAAGACAGGAAGGGAGTGGCAAGGGGAGCCAGAGAGAGAGGCAGGCTGTGAGAGCCCAGGCCTGAGAGAGATCTCCTTCCTTTCCTAGCCTTGGTAGCCTGAGGAATTATATATTATTGCACCTGTAAAGGTGATGGGGGAACACTGTAAATACACCATGGGTGGTGTCTATGAGCGGAGAGTCTCCAAGCAGCCTGAGTGTGTAGAGAAAGACGGGAGCGGAGGGGACACGCTCTTACATGTGGGGATTTGTACAGGTAAGATCCTGGACAGACAGAGAGCCTCCAGGGGAGGGCCTGATGTGAAGGTTTGGCAGCCTGGATAATGGAGGAGAACCTGCAATGGCTGGCAGAACAACAAAAGAGCATGCAGAAGACCTTGCAAAGCTTCCAGTAGTGTCACCACCTGGAGAGGCAAGTGTTGCTCGCCTGGCAGGCAGAACAGCAAAAAAGCCTGTATGACTTCATCCAAGAGCAAATGACTGTGCAGCAGCAGCGATGACAAAGGTAGTGAGTCCCATGGCAGGGAACGGCAAACGGGTACAGGGACTGGCCTCTGTAAGATATGACCCCTATGGATGACCCCAATGCATTAATTGGCACCTTTGGAAGGGTGGATATGAGCAAGCCTCAGACTACAAGATGGTGAAGGAAGCCATCTTGGATTGGGTGGGCCTGTCTGCTGAAAAGTATGGACAGAAGTTCTAAGCTGTGAGATGGATGGGCTGTCTGATGTCTGAGACTGGACACCCAAACTGTGGGGGAGATTAGGAATGCTCTGATTTTGGAGCCTCCCCGAGAGCATGCAGGTCTGGGTCAGACAGCATCAGCTAGGAACCTTAGATGAAGCAGTTAAACTGACAGAGGAG